CGCGATTCCACCCGCGCCTCAACGGCCCGTCGATGGTGGTGGAGCTCTTCGCCAATGGCAAGTGGGAGTCATTTGCAGCTGAGATGCGCTCAGAGGCTGCCGCAGACGATCGACGACGCCATCAAAGAGCACCATCGCCAGTTCTTCGACGCAGCCGAGCAGCTGCACCCAGATGACCTGCATGAGCTGTTCCCACCCATCTCCTCGATGACGCATCAAGTAAGGGGCCGCGTGCCGATTGTAAAGTGCCCGGTTGGCGCGTGGCAAACAGCAGGTAGGAATCGCTTCTCGACGCGCAGTTGGTGCGAGCTTGCGATGCGGATCGCGAAGAACGACCTGGAGAACCTGCGGGGCGTCACGGGGGCATCCGAGATGGAGCTGCAGACCGCTGAGAAGCTCGATAAGAAGGAGGTCGAGAGGCTCATGCGTCGTCAGGAGCTGCGCGAGAACGCGGGCACCCCGCTGGGCGTCGCCGAGATTCTCGAGAACTGCGCCGAGTCAGATGGAGCGGCTAGCTCCAGCGGCGGCGGCACTCGCGAGGGCGTCTCGGAGTGCGCGCCAGCGGGCCCTGCGCCGGTATAAGCGTCTTTTTGTGGAGGGCCCATAGGTGCAAATTTAGGTTGGCGCAACGCCACTCGGACGACGAGTGGAAAACGAGGGCCCTGCAGAGACCGCGTGAGAGTTCTGTTCAGGGGGCCCTCCTCCCGTGCAACGACAGCGCGACATGACCAGTATCGCAGATATGGAGGCCTCTCACACGACGCGCCATTAACGGCATTGCTCGCCCTTGCTTGCGCGCCGACTGGAGGGGGTATTTCAGAGGTGCACTTTGACTACTTCAGAGAATTTGCATGCAGCGTCCTGCAACGCAGGACTTGTGCGGGACACGACATTGCATGGTTCGGCCATCGACCAGCACGTCCAGGAAGCGAGCTGAATCTAGAGAGGGGGGTCTTTTTTTCGAATAGTGGGCTCAGCAGGATGTAGGTACAGAAGTTGGGCGCGTAGGAACCCCATGCATTCTCCCCACCCATCCTCCCTTCGCCGCTGAGTGGGGTCGCGTCCTTTTTCCCCCCCCTGCTTGGGGGCCCTGCTCGCCAAGCGAATTCCCAGTGGAATGGGCGCGCGAGAGGGCCAGCAGCCGCTCCCCCCGCAGTGGCCCGAAGGGACCCGCATTCGCAAGATAGCGAGGCTGTCTTCTGGGCCACTTCGGAGCTCGCCTCTTAGAGCATCGGGGTACGCCCCCTGCTGGCCCCATGCGAATTCTGGGTCTGCGGCGTACTATGCTCGCTAGGGGTTTTGCAAGTCGCACCCCGCAGCTCCATTGCGGGCGTTTCGACGTTGACCCTCGCGTGGATGTCCTGTCCTGTCCTGTCCTCCTAGTCCTCCTCCCGGTCCTCCTCCCCCTCATCCTGCCCTTCCTCCCCCTCCTCCCCCCCTCCTCCTCGTCCTCTTCCTCCTCCTCCTCCTCCTCCTCCTCCCCCATTCTCCCCTTCGTCCTCTTTCCACCTCCTTTTTCTTCTCCTCAGGGTTCTCAGGGTTCTCACCAAAGAGACATGTCGTGCAAGCACAGCATTCCCCGAAAAAGTACAGGATGCCGCTCTCTGTTGAAGCTGCTAGAGAGTGACTGATCGCACGCTAGGGCGGCTATGGTCCCCCCCGCCCACTCACCGCCCCTCCACAAGGGTGAATACCTGCGCTAGAGGGCAGGTGCTGAGCTTGGTTCAGCTCTTTTGCACCCTGGCTTGAGGGAGGCTGGACCTAAACAGCGAAGATACCCAACAGCTACAGATAGATATGAAAGCAGAAGTTAAACAGAGGACCCAAGCTTCGCTGTTTAGGGACATGCCTGGGATCAGTTCCGCCAGGCATCAAGGTTAAAGCACATCCTATGAGCATGTGCCACCTCCACTCCCCCTCGTCACGTCCCCTATCGCCATTGGCGTCGTCGTTACTTCACCTCCAGCTCCCAGCAGGGAGAACGTGGTGGAGGGCGAATTGGGGGAGAGAGGGGGGAGATAAGGAAGGGAATAAGTTGGGAGGCGCCGCGCTGGGCCTATGAGGTAGTTGGCCACCTCTCCACACTACGAGACCCAGCGCCGTTACGACAAAAAGTCGAAATTATATCCTCGAGCATCTTCCTCCCTCCCGAAAAGTGCTAGGACCCCACCCTCCGACCTCTGACGTTTATTATCGCCTGCTGGGTTCAGCAGCATGCACCTAGAAGGCAACAGAGGTTGGGGTGATGGATGCGGAGGTGTAGGAGCGAGGGGAGGTGAGGGACCACTGGGACCCCTTCGGAGCGGCCTAGTCGTTAGCCGCCAAGCTCCCCTCCTCCGAGTCTGCTGCTTCGCTGCCTGGTTCGCTGTCTGCGCCTGCGCTGAAAATGGCAGCGGCGCAAACCCACCTAGGGTGCTCGCTCTGGGATGTGCGTGCGAGCTTCGCACTGCTACATTCACCTCGTCATTATCCTCCCCCCGCTCGCTGCTCATATCCCCCACCCAACACCCAAGCACTCTCCTATAAACTGCGTGCCCCTGGTAGGCAAGCAAATGTGAAAGGGGCCATGGGAGAGATAGAGGGATGGGAATGGGGTGGAAGAGAGGATCACCCGAATCGGCGCAGTCGAGCGCAAGCCTGGCACAGCTTCGGATGGTTGCCGATGTCGAAGCGCCGAGAGCGAGCGCAATCAGCCCACTCGTCGGAAGAACCGCGGTTCACTTTCCGAGGTTCGGGATGTGGTCGAATACTAATCTCACCTTCTGGCCGAACCTGTCCTTGCGATTGGGAATCTGGTCGGGCCACTCTTGGGTGCACTGAGAAGCACCTGCTGTCCTGCTCGTCCGTCAGCTTCTCCATGTCGTTCGCGACGCTATGGGAGCTTGCGATCAGGCCGCCCTTGGACTTCTCGTGATTGCCAATTCCATCGCAAGGTGTATCGTCATGTGCAGCAGGACCTTTGCGAAGCCATTCACGAGCGATGCGATCACGTGCGATCCACCAAGCGTAACTCGAGACCCGAACAGAAACTTTCGGTGCCTCGACGACGCTCACGGGCACGCTAGTACCTGCAGCCTGCATCTCGCCAACGACCGCAGACTCCAACTTCTCGACGCCGTCGGGGAACTCGTCGAGGTCCTCGGGATGGGTATCGAGCTGCATGTTCGACAACACTGCAACCTCGGGGGTGTGAGCGCCGACAGCGGCATCTGGAGAAGGAACAGGTACGGGTACACCACCATCGCGACCATCCAGCGCGCAGCGGGCGCCGTCGCGATCGCCGCCAGAAATTTGAGCAGGAAGAAGAGCACCAGCGCCAGCCACCTGCACCTTGACGGCCTCCACGGACTCCATCTCGTTCAACTTTACGTCGAACTCAGGATGACCACAAGGAGGTAGACCAGGCGGAGTGGCACCGTCGCCGTCCGCCTGCATCCCGCCCTCCTTGGACTCTATCATCTTCTCCACGCCTTCGGGCAATTCGTCTACGTCGTCGTACTCCGTCAACGTCATCTCGGCGAGCTCGCACTCCGAGGCCACGTGGGACACGCCGAGGGCCATGAGGAGGGCCGCCGCCGACCGTGCGGATTCAGCCCAGGAGCCGGGGGGCCGCCTCGGCCAGAACGGGGGCGCCTCCATGCGCAGCCAGGCCGCGCAACTTGCCGCTGCCTCGAGCTCCGTCTCCAGCTCAGCGACACGGCGGGCAGAGGCGGGCTCGGACCGCCTAAGCGCCACAGCGCCAGGGGGCGGGGCATGCCTGCACCAGTTGCCCAGCGCGCAGGCCGACCAGGCGCCCGCAGCGTCCATGCCGACGAGGCCCGCGGCTCGAATGGCGTCGGCGATGGAAGCCTCATGGCCGCCGAGGGCGTTCGAGAGCTCCCAGTGCGCCGCCAGCGAAGCGCGGAATGCCTTGCACCGCACGGCCAGCGCCGCGCTCCGGGTGAGCCCACGCTCCGCCTGCTTCTGCCTCCGGAGCGCCCGCGCCGACGATCGCGAGCGGCTCGCTGACCATGGCGCGCCCGGAGGGTACATGCGAGAATGCCACTGGCCGCGCGCCGCGCGCGGAGGGCGCCCGTGAGCCGGCTCACTTGAGCCAAAATGGCTACGGTTTTTTGTTTTTCTTTTTTGTTTTGTTTTCTCCTCCTCCTCCTCCTCCTCGGCCTCCTCCTCCTCCTCCTCCTCCTCCTTCCTCCTCCTCCTCCTCCTCCTCCCCTCCTCCCCCTCCCCTCCCCCTCCCCCCTCCCCTCTTCTCCTCCTCCTCCTCCTCCTCCTCCTCCTCCTCCTCCTCCTCCTCCTCGTCCTCCTCCTCCTCCTCCTCTTCCTCCTCCTCCTCCTCCTCTTGGGCGCGCGCACTGCGCCAGGGGCGGCGCGGGTTGCGTCGCCAGGGGGCGCCGCCCCTGGCGCGCTCCGCGCGCCAGGGAGCGGGGGCCCAGCGCCGATCCAAGACATTCAGGAAAACAGCAAAAAATGCATATCCCCAATGAAATCGTCGATTCCGTAGAAAATATGAGACATATGGGGCATTGGGGGGAAGACGAAACCAACAAAAGTATGGGATTACATGGTGCATCCGGATATGTGTGTTTATGTACTTGTGTGGCCCAGCGCCGACCCAAGACACCCGCTTCGGCCTCCGAGCATTTCATCCGGCGACCGCAGACGTGGATCAATGGGGGGGTGGATTAGCGACGGGCTCCTATTCATAGGAAATCGTTGATTTCGGGCGATTGCAAATTTGGATCAAGGGGGAATGAAATTTCAGGCGGTTGCAAATTCAGGCGATTTCAGCGACGGGCCCCGTTTCCGTGGGAAATCGCGGATCGCCGCCGCCGAACCAGGCGGCGCCGGCCGCATTTTGGGGAGGGGAGCTCCCCCAATCCACGGATTAGGCGACCGCGCGCCAGATCCATGGATCGTTCATCCACGTTCTCGTGCCCCCGAGTTTCGGCCTCCGAAAAGTTATGTTTATGTTGTTTTGTTCCGTTCCCTTCTTCCAGGAGCTGCTGCGGCCCAGGCCCGCGTCCCGCAGCAGCGCGCAGATGGCGCTGGAGCACCGGTGGCTGGCGCATCCCGACTACGCGCAGGCGTCGGACGCGAAGTTCGCGCAGTGGAGGTCGACCTTCAGCCCGCCAGATGACTACGCCCTGCGTTTCCTGAACGCGTGCGGCACCACACCCGGCGGTGGGCCCAAGTCCTTGAGACTGTCCGGTTCCGAGCAGCTTTTCGACTGCATCCCTGAGGACGCTGCCATGGAGGATGGGTAGCCTCAGGGTGGATAGGGAAAGGAAAGAAAGAGGAGAGGGGACGAGGGAGGGGATGGCCTGGGAGGGAGGTAGAGAGGAAGGGGAGGGCGTGGGGGAGTGCTAGGAGCTTTCCTCCCCCTCCTTTCTTCGCGTCCTGGCGCTTGAGGCCGCCGAGCAAGAAGCGAGGTGTGCGGAGGCTGGACCTCCGGTTTGGGGGATCCGTGTAGAGGATAGAAGGGGGCGGCGTCGATGGGGTCCAACCTTGACGTGATCGGTTGGAAGTGGCCTCTGAACGTTGGATGTTTTCCAGTCGCCGTTCACGGACGGATAGGACATCTGCTTGTGGTACCTTTCTCATTGCCATCCCCGCTGTATTTGTTTCTGTGGTCCAACGTCTCATAGTTGCACCAGGTCTCCCGCCGACCGCCTTTTTCTGCGTTTCCCTTGCAGTTGTATCAGCGACCACCGGCCGCCACCACGGACTCGCGCACCCAGCACCTGGCACGTGTCAGATTTGACACCGCCCGTGCAGGCCGTGCATGTTCTCTGCTCCGTGCCCGTGCCGCCAGCCCATGCCGCCTGTTCTTTGCTGTGTGCCCAGTGACGTCACCTGGCTTCCAGCCCCTGCCGCTGCTTCGAAGGATGGCCAGCCGAGACAACGGTGGCTCAACCGCCCGACCCAAAGCCGACCAAGATCGGCCCCCCCAAACCCCTCCCGGTGTCAGTCCTGGCTTTAAGAGCCCGTTCTTTTATTGCATGGGGCATGACGGGCGTCATGGCCCCCAGCCCCCCCCCGCTCCCTATGACGTAACGCTCCCCCCATCCAGTGCGCTCCGGGCACTGCCCCCCAGTGCGCTCCGAGCACTGCCGCTGTGCGCATTGGGATCCGCGTAGGTGTCCGCGTAGGAATCCGCATAGGAGTCTTGTCCGCAGTCGTCGTCGTCGTCGTCGTCGTCGTCGTCGTCGTCGTCGTCGTCGTCGTCGTTGTCGTCGTTCGTGGCTTGTCGCTCGTCGCTCATAGTCGTCGTGCGCGCGGACGCGGCTGAAGCCTGTTTTTTTATTCCGGGCCGATGACGGCAATCATCTAGGGGGGGATGGAGGGGGTCGATGACGTCACGTTTCGCGCAGGCGGCGTTTGGGAACGCCTAAAGATGACGGAGGACGGGCAGCGCCAGCATGTAGGTGAAGATTTGCATCATAATGCCTGTGTACACCACAGTGCCTACGTGCACCACAGCGCCTGTGTACACCACCGCCGATGTACACCACAGCAGCCGCGTGCAACACAGCGTCAGTTTGTGCCACCGTTCCTGCGGGCACAACAGCTTTTGGGCACACCACAGCGCTTGCGTTCACAACATCAGCCGTGTGCAACACAGCACCAGTATACACCACAATTCCTTCGTGCATTGCAGTGCCTGTGTGCGCCACGGTGCCTGTGTGCACCACAGCAACCGTGTGCAACACATCACCATTGTTGTATATAGAATGTGAGAACGAATCCCTATGACAAAATTGAGCGCTTGTGGATTCCACAGAAAACAATACAAACTAATCCTTATGGACAACGGAGCGCCGCTGGAATTTACGGATCTTCCCGAGTCCGCCCGCATTATCCTAATTCCTCCCTTTGCGTCCACGAGGTTCCAGCTAAATTGGCCGTCCGAAAACCAAGTGGACCGATTCAATAGACTATTCTGCGGTGCGCGCTGAGATGCACACGTGCATTGTGGCGCCAACCCGCACGACAGGGGGTAAGGAGGAGGAGGAGGAGGAGGAGGTGGAGGTGGAGGAGGAGGAAGAGGGAGGAGGAAAGAACGTCGCATTCGATTCTCAGCAGTTCCAGGCGCGGCGTCCAGTTGTCCGCAGCAGATCCTGACGTACATGCTCCTTCTACCTGTCTTATGCACGCAGGCATTGTGGTGTACACCAGCGCTGCGTTGCACGCGGATGCTGTGGTGTGGACGCGCGCTGTGGCGTGCACAGGCGCTGCGGTGCGCGCAAGCATTGTGGTGCACACAGGCGCTGTGTTGCACATGGTAGCTGCGGTGTGCAATTGTACGCCGGCGCTGTAGTGTACGCGAGCATTGTGGTATACACAGGCGCTGCGTTGCACACGGTTGTTGCGGTGTACGCAGGCGCTGTGGTATGCACGCGCGCTGTGGTGCACGCAAGTGTTGTGGTGTACACGGGCGCAGTGTGGCATATCGCCACCTACATGCTGCTCGCGTCGTCGACGTCGTCGTCGTCGTCGTGA